ATGCGAAGACCACTTTAGTAAAGAGGGGTAGGTTTGTGCACAAAACCCTGCAAAAGGATAAGGTCCACCTCAAAACCGATGACGTCCATTTTTTGTTGAAGAAGAATAGGGAGTTTTGACCGTCCCTCATATAGGAAACCGTGGCTTTGTCACTGCAAAAGGATGGGATTCCTGTAGATGTTCCCTTAAACCAATTCTGGGAATATAACTTGCTGTGGCGTGAAAAATTGCTTGAGACCCTGGCTTAGCCTCGCTTAGGACAAAAACCTGGCAGTCAGTGTGTTGAAACCCCTGGCAGTGGCAGTTCGCCATTTTCGAGGGTCACTTGTGACGTCAAATCTTCCTCCACTGAACCATGGGCATGGCACGACGTCTCAAACAGATTTTGCTTGGCAGATTCCCTAGGCCCTATAGTTTGACAACACATCACACTGGAGGAGAACAAGCACGACAACATGTCTTGCAGATACCTTTCGAAGAAGTGCCCCCCTGTAAAACCAAACCTTGAAGAGCGGAGAATTCGCTATCCGCTGCCTGACCCTTGTCTTGGGCCGGCATCGGGGTGACGTAGGAAGTGGAGGTCGACTTCCATCAACCTACACATTGGGTTTATCATGGTCTATCTATCTGATTCAATGTAACACCCTTGTCAGGTCCTTTGTTTCTAGAAATCAGCATCCACTGTCAGATACAATAGTTGCAAGCAACAGGACTTGGACAACACATGGGTGATGTGTTATATATATATATATATTATATACACACGTATGACTCATCGATCGTTGGAGCAAAACATGGTTTGTATGCCGCTTTAAGAAACCGACAACATGAGTGGCTGCACCAACGGCAGATCAACACAGACATACGTATATCCCATACACTCCCTCACGAAGAGAAGCTTTTCAGGATATCAAACAGCGCTTGAGAAAGAACTTAGAGATAAGATGCATTTGTCCAGCTGTACAATCACACTACATATATACTCAATTTGTTTTATGAGTTTTATGTTGATCAGATTGGCTTGACTTCGCAGTCGTTGTGATTCTAAGAATGATGACCCCCAAAGAACAAAGCTGCGAGTTCCCGTCAAACACATTGTTATTGGTATCTTTCTACTTGGAAATCACCAAACAATCTCCATTTTTCAACACTTCATTCCACCCTTGCAATTCACATGCCATCGACCAAGCCGCAGAATACACAGCTGTTCACCGGTGTTTCTCGGCCCTCGTCACAAGGTACCTCCAGTGTCGCATGGACAGAAACCTCATGAGACGGGAGCCGATGAAGTCCTTGGGCTTCACCGAAGAGGCCCCGGTCATCTCGGCCGCGAGAGGCTTCACCGAGTCAGGTCCGCTCCAAGTGTTTGGTGCGTGTGCTGCGTGGTCGGTCTGGAGCGGAGGATGCCGAGTTGGCCCAGTTTGAAGTGCAAAAAGAACTTACTTAAGTCAAACATCGTTTCGAAAGGTACTACCCGGCCTCGCTTGAGCTAGCATGTTAGATCTAAGTATGATTGATTTAGTCCAAAAAAGTCCAAGTCAGGGGTTGGCAGAGGCGACAGAAACTTGTTGGGGGGAATACTCCCACTCCCACCCTTTTAGCTTCCACTGGTGGGGTGATTCAAGTTGGAGAGACTATTACTCTCCATGAGAGTGTAATGAAGATGTGCTGCTGTGTTACTTGCAACTGCAGTAGAGATCCGACGATTCCTCAAAGGATTACCAAGCCTTTTCTAGGGACTGTGACTGGGGCAAACACACAGTTGACAGGCGGGTTTGTTAATGTTAGACTGCGATCTAGTATGTGGTCCCATCAGTAATATTCATTCATGTGTACTTCCTCTATAATTTCCAGTGGGATGGTCAATCTGAAGGATTGGACGAATCGAATGTGGAATTCTATGTAGTACAGGCATGTTAGATGTTAATGTCTCCAACTTGCTCGTAACAAAACTCAGCGGCCGAAGATCTACGAACTCCAGCAGAGCAGGACAGAAATTATGCATTGACTCAAGTTCAGTTGAGGAAACGAATCTCACAAGTTCACAAACAGTCGGGATCCAATCATACCCTCTCAGGTTCGGTACTTGGACCCTCCTGGCACCTACATAGCAGTGTCTCCAATCACCTTCTGCTACTTGGATCCCTATTTGGCAAACACCGCAACACCGGAAACACCGGTGCGCAGGAGACGAAGCCCAAGCCAGCGCGGAAAAAGAACAAGACCAAGACCAAAGAGGAGAGCCACACTGCAGGGACCGCTTTCCAAGCCACTGAGATGTCTTGAGTCTGACTCAGCCGGCCGAGAGTGCGGCTTCGTCCGGTGACTTGGCCTCGTCCGGCCTTTCCAGTCCACAAGCGAGGTTGGCAGGTTGGAGAGCGAAGGAAGGTGTTTCACACGGGAGAGACCAAGGAGGACCGAACGACCCTTCCCTCCGTTGGGTGGGCGAGAATGCTCACCCGGAGCGTGGACCTGCGCAGTGGCCGATTCGGTCATATTCGGGTCATGGTCGGTGGTCTTGCGCAAGGTACCCCGGTTCTATTTGACCCGTGGCACAGACGCCTAGCTATGATGTATCTCTGACTGGTGGATATTGAGTGGTGTTCAAATCCAAAGCGATTTTGGGCTCACAAACCCTCTTCTTTGCTTTCTCTTTTCTTTAAAACACGCCTGCAGACGATAACATGTAAATTGATGCAGTCCGAAATGTCTATGATGCCTGTTCAGCTTCTTTCACGCATGATGTTTGTATACCAGCTGCTTCCAACGGGTCACTAATGGACAACCGTACTACTTATAGGTCTCCAGACAGGACACCCATTGGAAGCGCAGGGATTGGAGCACCATGAACATGTCAACATCTCAAGCAGCCACCACGACGGCTGTGGACTTCGGATGGTTTGGAAAGCGGGTCAGGTCCCGAAGCCCAGTTGCAGAGGCCCTATTCACCACTCTGTCAGCGTTCCAGCTGCCGGGCGAAGCGGCGAAGACGCTGTGGGGTGTTCCTTCTCCCCCCCTACTATCCCCAAAGAAATCCAGGAATCCACCCAAACCTGTTCGTTAGGACTGGACCCTCCTGGCATGTATGACAGACCCAAGTGTTGTCGACATCACCACCTGAGCGGGGGGGTGTAGGCCGTGATCCATATAGGGCATAGAGCCATTGAGGACTTGAGCAAGGCCAAACACCTTCCATAAGATGAACTATAAGTAAAGGCATTTATAAAGGCCTTGTCATATGGAACTTTGGCGTAAGCAAAAATGAGCGCCTGGTGCCTGGTGCTGGCCGCCGTGATGATCACGCCCATGTGCCCGCTTGGCAGGAGGAGGGTTGGGTGGTCGGCGTCGATGGTGGGAAATCCCAGAGACACGACACGGAAGTCACCAAAGACCCGGGACCTGGGAACTGAAAGAATTGGGTTCCTCTTCAGAGGAAACGACACGAGTTCAAGCCGAAACGATTTGGTCGGTTCCAGTAGGGTGAGATTCTGTGAGAACATCTTCCTAAGTCATCTTCCTATATACCTTTAGGACTTTAGGAAGTAGCATGTCATGGGCTGACACATCGGGATGAATGACAGCAGGTCAATCTCGACCCCTGGTCCCGTTTCCAAGCACCAATGAACGAGTCGTTCGTCAGCTCGGCTCGGCGCATCATTTGATCAACGGCTCCCGGACTGGACGCAGACCCACACCATTCCAAACCTCTCGTTGATGCAAAGACCTGGAAGTCATAGGAACAGAAACTGATGTTCCAAAAACACATGGTGTTTTCCCTTCAGGATCCATCTCCGCAATCACCAGGGTGTGCTGGTTGAAGCACCCATGTTTCATATCTCGAAGCACTTGGTGTTGCAGTGTGATTGGACCAGGCGACTGAGGGAGGGAAGTCTTCAACGCTGGCAGCGCTGCCATGGCAGTTCACTGCGTTCACCCTTTTCAACCTGATCCGGGCAGCCGTTTTCACGGCTCCGTCGGATGGTTTTTGTTTACAAGGAAACACCACTTACTGTAAACACAACTTTGCTGTTTCAGCCCAAAAACCAATTCCATGAGGCTCCAACCAGGCTCGCAGGCTCCCAACGGACTCCTCACCGGTCCGAACATCCAGCCCAAGTCCGAGGCATTCGACCCGAGCGGAGCAACGAGTGGCGAAGGCGGTGCGTTTTTGTGACGGATCGGTGCAGCGGATCGGAGCGGCGAGGGGAGGGACCCCACATGGTACGGTATAGGGTGAGGTTGGGAAAATACCCCATATCTTCCCTATGCCGCGTCGAAAGACACTAGCCTGTATGCCGAAAACATATCGTCCCTATCTGTTTGCACCTGGTCTTTGGTTCAATCCGAATCGTGGATCGCATCAGTATCTGCCTTCTTTTTCAGCAGATAGCATCAGCCTTGCTGCCTCTTGCGGCTTCGACCCAGCCAAGTTGTGGACATCCACTCACCTGTCAACCATCCGGACCTTCCAACAGTGTTTGAAGGTCTTCTCAGCCACCTGGGTGTCTGTGTGTGTATGTTTAAACAGGGAGACACCCTTTCTCGCCCCTGGCTGAGTAGACTGGTCCATTTCCCAAACCATGGGCGTGGATCGACTGTGCCAGACCCACTTTGATCAACATCCGCGCCTTCATGGGTGACGGCAAGAAGGAGAAGTCGAAGAGAGGAAGTCAAACCCAGGAGGTGATAGCAGTCAGCCGATCTGCTTGGACACTATTGAACTCTATGGCTGGACTCTACGATTTTTTGTGGTCATGCCATTCACTGTTTTTTGGCTGCTATATTATAGTCTGCTATATTATAGTTGGGTGAGGGTGCACCCTATTGACAAGTCAAACACATTTGGTCGTGGACGTTCGCAATGTCAACATCTTACTTTGGTGTGTACGTTCCTGGGTGTGGTTCCAGCTATTTTTCGCATGTTCAACTGATGGTCCTTCGTATCGTAGGTTAAAACGAGGTTGATCTATGTTTTCATTGCAGTGTTCTGGCTTAAGTGTATGGATAGGAAGTTGGCGCACGACTACTCCACCTGCGGTTGCAGGTGCTGCGCCATCCTAGGCAAGCTCTCGGGTTTCCTGCTTCGAGCAGGGACTCGGGAGGAGGTCCGGCTGTTCGCGGCTCCCATCCTGGAGGCCGTGTACACTCAGGTCCTCGAGAAGGCACTGAGCCAGCCTGAGGTTGCAGGACCTCCTCCTGGAACTTCCCGAGAGGCCAGTGGATCTGGCTCGGGGGCGGCGGCCCCTGGTGGTGCGGGAGAGGCGTCTCCTGGCAAGGCGGGAGCTCCAGCTCCTGAGGCTACAAGGGCTGCAGAGAGCCCTCCGCCTGAAAAAGAAGAGGGCGGGACATCCAGCAAAGGGCGAGGGTTGCCACCTCTCGCCCGGCTGAGGAAGAGAGATCGACGAGACGGAGAGGGTCCTTTCGTTGAGACCAAGGTCAAAGAGGAGCAGCCGGTGGACAAGAAGGAGCCCTCGAGGACGTTGAGGAGAAGCGATCCGACAAGAAGAGAGAGAAAGAGAGAGGCCATAAGTCCAGAGGATCGAAGGAGGGTCGTGAAGAAGATCGTCAGAGAAAGAGATCAAGAGAGCGAGGCAGGACACGGAGGTCGAGGAGCAGGTCACGAAGGAGAGACAGGAGGCGGAGAGAAAAGACACCGCCCAAGAGCCCTTCCGTTGGTGCAGACCTACAGCAGGAAGGAGGCGAGAGTGAGGCAGGTGAACCAGATCAGGACCGGGAGATCGCTGAGGAGGAGACAGAAGAGCGGCCGAAAGATCGACCAAAGCCCAGGGAACCAGAGGGGCCACCTCCTGGGTTCGGGAGGGGCCGCTGGAGTGGAAACTCCTGGGGTGACGGGAGCAAGCCGAAGAAGAAGAAGTCCAAGGGCAAGAAACACGTCCTCAGGAACCAGGACTATTGGCGCAGTTGGAGAGAGAGGCAGAGAGGTGCGAGGCTATGGCGCCCAAGAGGAGGCCAGCGGCCGAGGCGGGGCGGCAGAGGGTCGTAAGAAGACGGCCTGCCGCCCTGGCAGGAGAGATCGAGGAGCCGTGGGTGACTGCAGAGGAGGTCACGTTGGCACAGATGGAAGGTTGGGCTCAGATGCGTGTACAGGGAGAGTATTGGGAGGAGGCCGTCGACTGCACCGTGGAGATGATCGAGCTGAAGGCCAGCAGGGGAGACCGAGAGCTCCTAGCCAAGGCAGTGGGCACCTCAAGCGAGGCCCTCCTCCGCTACATCAGCGGGGTGCCGGAGAAGTCCGTTCGGCTTCATCTGTGCGGGCGAAGGTGCGACAGGAGGACTTGGGAAGACGGGCTGATCCATGTCACCCAGGTCAAGCAACATCGTTCCGGAGAAGTGGCTTGGGAGAAGAATTTAGAGACCAGTCGAGCAGAGGCAGAGAGAGACGAATTAGAACGCGTTCGACTAGAAGCTGCAGCCCGCGGAAAAGGACGAGGACTTCCAGCCGGACCACGACCCGATGCAGAGAAGGACCACGCCCCTGGGGAATCGGGGGACTCCGAGGAGCGAAAGAAAAAGAAAAAGAAGAAGAAAAAGGCCAAGTTGAGGATCGAGGCAGTGAAAGACCATACCATCATCTTCAAGAATACGGGCATGGACGCGGATCCCATGAAGCGGAAGAGGTTCAGGCGACGTGCCAAAAAGCTGACCAAGAAGGCCCGCAACAAGGACAGCGCTTCAAGCGGGAGTTCGGAGAGTTCGGACTCCTCGAGCAAGGTCAGCGGTCAGCGAAGGAGAAGACTATTTTGGGGAGCTGTTCACGCCGCAGACCAGCACACAGAGGATGTGGGAAAGGCTGCCAGGTGTATTAACGGCCCAGCTGTTACAAGATGCCCAACGCAGCATGCTATTACAGATGGGGAGTATGGCTTCGACTTCAGGGCAGTTGCAACCGCTGACATCCCAATACGTGAGGCAGCAGATGGGAGCATCCATGTCGCCAGTGATCTACAGAGAAGCCATCCATTGGGCTGCAACCCTGGACCTGATGGTCCAGGGAAAGGTGGCCTCAGCCTGCGACGTGATGTCACAGAGACTGAAATCGTTGGAGGCGCTAGCAAAAGGCATGAAGGTCGACTTGATAAAACAGCTGGAGTTGATTCAGGTGGACAACTATGGGCTGGCCAGTTCAAGCGAGCTCCACCAGGCAGGCAGGACAGCGCACGAGGAGAACAAGATCTATGGCAAGGCCACCGGACGAGTTCCCGAGTACAGAGATCGCTTCAGGGAGAAAGGAAAAGTGAAAGGCGAGAAAGGGGAGACCAAGGACAAGGATCGCGAGAAGGAGAAAGGAAAGAAGGACAAAGGAGAAGGGAAGAAGAAGCATTAGAGGAGTCTCACACGGGAGCAGGCCTTGCTCCTGGTACAGGGCCTTTACTTCCTGGTGGCAGGGAGGTGAACGCCGTTGAATTTACAGTACTTGGGACGGGAGCAACAGAGCGAGACGCTAAAGCTCCTGGCTTGAGCATGCATGACATCATCAAGAAGTCAGCCAGCGTTCTACGACAGGACAGCTCTTTGACAATGCGCTCCAACAAGGAGAACCCTCTGGATCGGCGGAATCCTCTGTTCCCACTGCAGACAGTGAGGATGGAGGTGCTTGAGGAAGAGGGTGCTCCGCGCCGGCTGACGGAGGAGGCTGCTCAAGGGGCCCTCATTGCTCTCAATCATTTGGCTGGATTTGGGACATCAGGGCCTGTTGCTATCTCCTCGAGTTCTCCTACTTCTTCAGCTCACGAAGTGGAGCTTGGAGTTCGTTCGAAAGCGGAAAAAAGTGTTTCACGTCTTGTGCAGCGCAATCACATGTGGGGGGTGTCGGAGGAGGAGTTCGATTTCGATTCGTTTTTCCAGGGACGTGGGGTGAGCTACCAGGGTGATGAAATCAAGATGGCCCAGAAACTTTCATGGGAAGCCGTCAAACAATCGTTGCCCGCGGAAACTGGTTCCTTGCCTTTAACCGAGTTTTGTAGGTTAGGCACGCTTGCATATATTCAAGATTTTGAAACATATATGGTTCCAGAAGAGGCTCGAGTTTACACCACCCCCCCCAGGGTGATGATACAGGAGGGACAGTGGGAGAGCCTGGCAGCAGGACTCCTAGAGCGGGGGATCGCTGAGGCCAAGCCCCTGGACCAGATATATCATTTCCAAGGAAAACCCGTGCTGAACGGATTATTTGCAGTTGGCAAAGGGGAGTTCGAGAACGGCATCGAAACTCAACGGCTGATCATGAATTTAACACCAGTGAATGCCCTGTGCCGCCCATTGGCAGGGGACGTGGGCACGCTCCCGGCTGTCTCAGGCCTGAATGGCTATTTGCTGGAAGATGGAGAAGTAGTCCTCCTGTCAAGCGAGGACATCCGGTGTTTCTTTTACTTGTTCGCTGTGCCTGAGGGATGGAAACAGTTCATGGGGTTCAATCGCTCGTTGCCTGAGACCCTGGTTCCTGAGAAATGGCGGGGTCGGACTTGTGTGTTAGTGTCTAGAGTTTTACCTATGGGGTTTATAAACTCTGTGTCCATCGCGCAACATGTCCATAGGAACGTAGTGAGGCTTGGTGCACAACAGTGTAGGCCTGTGATCGGTGGTGAAGGTGAGCTACGTAAGGACAAGGGTCTTCCCAACTCTGACAACCTGTATCGTACTTACCTAGACAACTTCGACTGCTTGGAACGGGTACAGGCTGACTTGGCAGACACCATCAAAGGCACAGTGGCTTCACAGGTGGAAAGTCTCAGGGAGGCATATGGGGCTTTGGGGTTGCCACGGCACCCAAAGAAAGCAGTACAGCGGGCCGGAGTAGGGGAGATGCAGGGTGCTCTCCTGGATGGCGAGCGTGGCTTTGCCATGGCTAAGCCGATCAAGGTCATCCAATATTGCAAGCTGGGCTTCGAGCTGTTGAGACGGGGCGAATCGACCCTGAGGGAGCTACAGGTGGTGTGCGGCGGCTTTGTATACCTCTGCATGTTCCGACGGGCGCTGCTCTGCTCATTGAACGCGGTGTTTGAGCACATGAAGGCATTTGAGAGTGAGGCCCCAGTGGTCAGGTTGGCCCTGCCATACCAGGTCAAGGTAGAGATTGCCCGATTCATACTGCTTTCACCACTAGCCCAGATGGAATTTCGTGCGAACGTCGATGGAGAGGTCACGTGCTCGGACGCTTCATCGTTCGGGGGAGGACTCTGTGCATCCAAGGGCCTCAGTCAGTTTGGCCATGCCGCATTAAATGCCAGTAGTAGGGGTGATCTTCCTGAGGAGCATGACCTGGTCCAAGTTCTCAGTGTGGGTTTGTTCGATGGAATCGGGGCCCTCCGTGTTGCTTGTGACGTGCTTGGTTTGCCCATGGCAGGTCATGTCAGCATTGAACAGAATCCTCATTGCCATAGGGTGGTTGAAAGTTTCTTTCCTGAGTGTGACTTTTTCTCGGATGTCTCCACGTTTGGTGATGAGGAAATTCTTCAACTGTCCCTGAAGTACAGCAACGTAGGCCTGGTCATTATAGGTGCGGGACCACCGTGTCAGGGAGTGTCAGGACTCAATTCGGACAGACAGGGAGCTCTAAAAGATGCTCGAAGTTGTCTCTTCCAGGAAATCCCGCGCATTACCTCGGGCTTCAAGCGGCTGTTCCATTGGGCACAGGTTCACGAATTGGTTGAAAATGTGGCATCAATGTCCGAGAGTGATCGTGGCGTTATGAGCGCCAAGTTTGAGCGTGCACCTTACCGGATTGACTCAAGGGGCATTTCACTGTGTTCTAGGCCTCGTCTTTATTGGGTAACATGGGAGCTTCGCGGGGAACCGGGGGCTGAAGTCACCCATCCTGGGCGGGACTCTGGGAATGCTTGCGGGAAGGTGGAACTCAGTGGAGACATTGACAGTAAGGCCTTTCTGCACCCAGGATGGAGCCTCGTAGAGGATGGTTATCTGCCTACGTTCACCACGTCAAGACCCCGCACTGGCCCAGGACGCCGCCCTGCAGGATTGGACGGATGCCAAGAACATGAGAAGGCACGTTGGGTTGCAGATGAGTACAGGTTCCCACCTTACCAATACAAAGATGCCAACGGTCTTTGGAGCAAAAAAGGTGAATGGAGACGTCCTGACTCAGTTGAACGCGAAGCATGCATGGGGTTTCCTGTAGGGTACACAAAGAACTGCCTTCCTAAAAGCCAACAACAGGGAGCCAACTATGAGGACATGCGCCTCACTATGATAGGTAATTCATGGCAGGTAGGTGTAATTGCATGGTTGCTGCAGCAATTGACAGTGCCACTTGGACTCTGCAAAGTGACCCGGCTTGACCAGCTGCTCATGAACCTGACTCCAGGACAGGCGTCTGAGTTCTCAACCATGTTGATTCGTCCCCCTCTGCACGGAAGGCAAGGGCTAGTCAAAGAGGCCAACACGGTCCAGCTGGTCAAGAAACTCATTGGGTTAACTTCCATGAAGGGTGAGGACCTGATGATCCAAAGTGGTAGTGACCCCGCTCCCCGGCATTTTCGCCTGCGCGCAAGCGTGCCCGGTCGTATGTGGAAGTGGCGAGAGATCTGCGGTTGGCGCTGGATGCATTCAGGTGAACACATCAATGGCTTAGAGCTTCGTGCCATCCTGACTAGTGTCAAGTGGAAGATCTGGAGGTGCAAGCGTGTGGGGGTGAGATTTCTGCACCTCACCGACAGTCTTGTGTGCCTTCATGCGCTCACTAGAGGTAGGAGCTCTAGTCGCCGGTTGAGACCCATCATTATGCAACTCAATTCCTATCTACTTGCTGCGGACCTGCACCCCCTTTGGGGGTACATACACACATCCCTCAACCCTGCGGACCGCCCCAGCCGGCGGCCGCTGCGTAAGAAATGGCTAAAGTGAGAGCACGAGTGTTGGAGGGTCGTAGCAAGGAGGATAGGAAGCAGCAGCGCAAGGCCTTGGGGCCGTTGAAGGGTCTAACCGTGTCTAGTAAAACTAATGCAAGGTACAAGAATGCCAGGGAGCGATTTTATGATTTTCTTCACAAGAATCAGCTTGAAATCCCCACAAGACGTGACCAGTTTGATGCAATTGTGTCGGAATATGTTGAATTTCTGTGGTCAGAAGGCGAGGGCCGTGGGCTCGCTGCCGACACGATCGCAGGATTACAGGACCTGGATCCGAAGCTTAAGGGGCATTTTCAGCAGACATGGAGATTGATAAAAACATGGAATACCCAAGAAATTCCAAACAGGGCTCCGCCCCTACCCGAGCAGGCCATATTGGCCATGGCCGGCTGGGGATTTTTCCATGGGCATTTCAATTTTTCAGTTTCCATTCTCCTGTGTTTCTATGCCATGCTGAGGACTGGGGAAATGTTAGGAATTCGAAATTCTGACATCAGTATGACCTCTGCTAGCTCTCCTGCAGTGATTAGTTTAGGTCTAACAAAGGGTGGTAAGAGAACCGGTGCTGCTGAGTCGGTGACTTTGACGGCAGCTGTCGCTTTGAAGTGGTTGTGGCAATGGAAAGGCCGGAACGGCCCTAGAGCGTCACTCCGCCCGTCAGCCTCCTACTGGAGGAAAATGTTCAAGACTTGTTTAGCTGACCTCAAGCTTACGCTCTTTGAATTCAGACCCTACTCGCTCCGGAGAGGGGGCTCGACCTTTTGGTTTTCCAAGCACGGGAGTCTAGATAGGCTCCTGGTGGCTGGCCGTTGGCAAGCCGCACGCACGGCCCGGATATACATTAACGAAGGCCTGTCCGTTTTAGCAGAATTGCACTTACCCCATAAGTCCCTCCTTCCGTTCACGCGTGTGTTTCACTCTCAATCCACACCCCCAGAACCCTTGAGCGCGCGCACGAGGCGCAGAAAAGGGGGACGTGGAAAGGGTGGAGGGCAGGTTTTTTCCTTTGTTTTTGTTGAAGTAGC